AGCCACTGTGAAAATCAGTATATAGGTTTTTCGAAAAATTAAAAATAGAAATATCATATGATGTAGTAATTCCAAAGAAAACAAAAACAGTAACTTGAAAAGATATTTGAACCCCTATGTTCATTGCAATGTTATTTACAATGGCCAAGATATGGAAGCTACTCAAGGACACACTGACAGATGAATGGATAAGGAAGATGTGGTACATATACAAAATGGATTATTATTACTCAGCCATGAAAAGAATGAGATCTTGCCATTTCCAGCAACATGGATGGACCTAGAGAGTATTGTGCTAAGTGAAATAAGTCAGAGAAAGGCAAATACCACATGATTTCACTTACATGTGGAAATCTAAACAACAAAGCAAATGAATAAATAAACCAAAAGCAGAAATAGATGCCAAAATACAGAAAACAAACTGATGGTTGCAAGGGTGGGGATGGGCAAAATGGGTGAAGGAAAGTGGGAGATACAGGCTTCCAATTATGGGATGAGTAAGTCATTGGAATAAAAGGCACAGCACAGGGAATATAGTCAATAGTATTGTAATAGCGTTGTATGGGGACAGATGGCAGCTACACTTGTGAGCACAGCATAACGTATAGACTTGTCGATTCACTATGTTGTACACCTGAAACTAATGTAACATCATGTGTGAATTACGCTTCAATTTAGAAAATGTAGATAAATAAACAGAAGAATGAAAAAAAAATCTCTCTTCTACCACTAACTCTCTTGCACATCTTGATTGAGTGTTAGGTTCACGGCTACAGAAGCAGCTCCGGTGAGGTCCTTTGCAAGATCACAAATCACGTCATTTTGGAATAGGTTATTTGGCATTTAGTGTTTTGGTCTTTGAAGTCTTGGGCCACCCTCTCATTTAACAGGAACTATTGCTTTTAATATCCAAAAGAATACAGATGTTCAGAAATATGTCTGACCCACAGTACCTTCACTCAGAGCACTTTAATTATTGGCACACTCGGTACCTTTTTATAAGATGTTTATTTTGGAGAGAGAGAAAGAGCATGAGCAGGGGAGGGGCGGAGAGAGGGGAGACAAAGGATCCACAGTGGGCTCCGCACTAACAGCAGTGAGCCGGATGCAGGGCTCAAACTCACGAACAGTGAGATCACGACCTGAGCCAAAGTCAGATGCTCAACCGACCGAGCCAGCCAGGCACCTCCCGGTACACTTTTAAATCCTCCTGAAGGTGCGGAGACAGACCTCAAGCTACATTTTGGCAGTGGCTACATACTGTTGTGTGCTCAGATTGACATTATACCAGAGGTTTCCCCACTCAGAAGCATATGGGGCAGTTACCTCCATCTGGCACAAGACCTGCTTCACCTCCTCACCCTGTTCGGTAGCACACGTGTGGGAATAGGTTTCTCTGGTTTCCAGTCTGAGTTCTGCCGCTTATTTGTTCTGTGGCCTCAGGCAAAATATTTAATTCTCATCCTTAGTTTCCTGACTGCTAGATTAGACACATTTGAATACCTTACCTGGGTAGTGACAGGGAAATGAGATGAAAGTATTAAGATCTACTGTAGCTTTAGCATAAGCACACAACACAGGAGAAATCCTCGCTAGTCAAACTGACCAACTGCCAGAACCTCAAAATGTGATCACTGAACAGCATCAGTGACATAAACTGGAGTGTTCTAAATGCAAACTCTCATTAGACCAGTTACTGAGGTCTACCTATAACACTACGGTTACTTGAAATTTGTATTTTTTGTTTTTAACTTTTAATGTCTTCCTGTCTTCAAAAGCAAAGCATCCTTTCTACTCTCAATATACACACCTTCACAGAGTGAAAAACAAATGGTGTAGTTGGGCTGACCAGTGTAGATTTTTTGAGCCCACCCTTGCTTCAGCGCCGGAGTCCAGCTCCAGCAGGTCCAGGAACCTGCTGGAACCATTCCCGAAGGACGAACGGCGTCGGCAAAAAAGTGAAAATAAAACAAAACTGGAATAAAAAAAATAAAAATGGACGCAGACAACCGCAGTGTGTTGAACTGGCCGATTTATTGCAGCAAACGTGGCATTATATATGCTAGTTATTTCCTTGTAGCATACGTCATCTATGTTTTTCTAACATTACCTAATTTTGAAAATGTTCCTATGTGTAATAGACCTTTAAGAAATAACACGGCGGTTTTCCCCTAATTTTCCCGCATACCCTTTGATTATAGATTAATTTCTTACATTATTCCATTATGCACCTGCGTTTATCTATAATCTACAAAGCGTTTGCTTTGCCGTTCTCGTGAAAGGCCCTCCATTTCTCAACACCCCAAGTGGAACAGTTACAGGGACGTGACCTCCTGACCACATGAGGCCAGAAGAACAATGTGTTCGCCTCGGTCTGAGGTGTCAGGAAGGGGCCGAAAAAGCCTTAGAAACCCATGCTCCATGCATTCTCAGAGAGACCATGCACCTAGGAACCAATGAACCATCTGTAGCTTAACCGACTAGGTTCAGTCATCATCTGGAATGCCTCCGGGGGGCCAGGTGGGCCTAGAGGTTGAAGTCACCCGTGCCCAGAGATACACTCCTTAGTTGCCGGAGTGGGGCTTTCAAATCCGTATGTCTCTCCTTTACAGTCCCTCTTTGCTGGCAGAGGTGTGAGGCTATCCTTCCTGTAAGTAGAGGACTCTCCATAGGGGATGGCAAAGGCTAAACGAAAGGCCGCACAATTTCTTGCAGAACCTTTCTTCCTACTGGTTCTTTTCCCAGGGGGCCTGCCGAGGGCCATTCCCCAGCAGACACTACCCCAGGTAGTTTTAAGGCCGAATTACCTATAAGCAGGAGGACAAGAAGCTTCGCTGTCGGTGGGCCGCCTTGCACTCACCAATCTGTCCACAGCCCGGGCCCTGCCACTCAGGCTGGGTAGCTCGGCTTCCAGCACTTCAAATGCATCCCAAAGTTTGAGAATCACTATTCTCTGTAAACTCAACTGAAGCACAGATTTTATAAACCAGAAATTTTGATTTAGTTGAGGTAGGTTGTGAGCTGGGTAACAGGTTTTAACAAATCTACTCGGGATTTATTGTGCAGTTAGTTTGATAGCCACTGCTCTCCTGTCCAAATTTACCAAATACAGCAGGAAAAAGCCTTGTGTTTCCATCAATGTCAGGAAAAGACCTCACATTGACCTAACAAGGATTATGGACTCACCCCTAGACCAAGCACTTTGGCCAGGGGGATGGAGGGAGGGTTGATTCATGGAGTCCTATTTTTTCCCCTGAAGTGTAAGGAAGTGTCAGCTCTACTCGCACTTGGAATGAAATTTGGGGTTGTTTCTTGAAGACATACCAGAAAATTGGGAACTGGAGAATGGAAAGAGCAAGAAACAGATGTCCACTTAATGATTTAACTTTTATTGCCAAGTCTTTCTTAGTGTGTCCTTGCAGGTCTGTTTTTGTTTGCTAGTTTATTATTTCAGGGCTTATCATGGTCACATTCATGTTTCTTCTCAATCATAAAACACTTTTTAAATTTTTTCCTAGAAAAAATATTACTGTTTTGGGTTTTCTGCATTTCTGAAATACAACTGCATAAGCACCTGTCTCATTTTTCAATCTCTTATACATACGTATGTATATACATACACATACATATATATGTATGTATGTGTGTGTATATCTGGATATACAATAACTCTTTAATAACTCTTGTGTGTATATCTGGTCACAATATCTCTTTAATTCCTAAAAATGTTTACTCTGTTTTCCCTCATGTCAAACTTACTGCACACGCTGAAAGGCTGTCTATTCTCTCATTTAATTTGGCAATGAGAAAATTATCATCTCAATCATCTAAACATTCTCACAGAAGTTCAAGTCTATTTAATTAGACAAAAACAAAAAGGCCTAGCAATGTCAGAAAGTACTCAAAGATAACTATCTTGTAGGTGTGTAAATAGTTATGATTGCATATATTTGTAGGTAATGCTGGACAACTAATAGTCATTAGAATTAGAAGTAAAAGAATTAGAATTAAAAGTATTTTATAAAATGGAAAATAAAAACATAAAGGTATAAATCATTTTCATATATAACAAAATATCACTAAGACATTGTATAGGACAAAATACACAGAAGTTCCAAAAATGTATATACTGTGCACTCAAAGGTTAACTGTGAGGCCTGGATTGCCCAAAGCCTATATTTGCCTAAGTTCTTCAGGGCTAGTCCTTGTCCAGCTTTTGATACGAGCCCTTAGAATACCTGCCTGATAAGAATGTGTTTGTAGAGTTTATGCTAGCAGTGTGATTTATGGTAGATTTCTATTTGTATATGCCTGGGGCTTTGAGGCATTGAGGCATCCTGTCTCAATTAGACCTGCGTGAGGGCTGGCAACTGAGGAACTAAGGTTAGTGACAGAGATGCTCCATGCTTACAAGGGTGTCAACATTTTGCATGTACTGTAGCACATTAGTGCTGGAAAAAATTAGCACTATCTGTAGAACTCCATAAGAAAAGAATAACTGGAGGCTTATGCCTGGTGTCTCCTGGATCCCTCCTTATGTGTCTTTTCCCTTTGCTGATTTTATAATACACTATACTTGTGAGTTTAATAGCTTTCCTCGTTTCTGTGAATTCTTTTAAGAAATCATCAAGATAGATGATACATGATAGAGGGTGGTGTTAGAGATCTCCAGTACACAAAGGAATAAATAAAGGAATAAAATGTGAACACATTAATTACTAATTGTGTGTGGAGTAGTCCTCACTTAAACTCTCCAGAAAGTCCCCCTGAATCCACAACTAAATCTGTTGTATTTGTAAGCCCACGCTCCTACTTCAACATGTCATAGCATTCTAGATTAGCACTGTAATTTCCACAGGTTAGGAAAGTAGCAAGGGATTAACCTTCTAGAAGAAATTAAGGCAGAAAATTTAGAAGAGATTTTTATACTATTTTAATAAAGTTAGAACTCCAACATTTTAAAAACAGAGCTTTTTGTTTTGGTTTTCTAGTAGGGTCTACACCCAACGTGAGGCTTGAACTCAGAACCCTAAAATTCAGAGTCACATGCTCTACCAACTGAGCCAGCCAGGCACGCCAAAAAACAAACTTTTATCGATCAAGGAAGCCAGTATCAAATAATCCTTTGGGCAGCTGAACATGATACTCTTGATAGGCTTGGTTTATGCAACCCTAGTGGAATTAGGGATGGGGTTATCTTTACTTAAACCCCCTAAATTGAGGTCTCAGGATGGATAATTCCTCAAAGAAAAAGTGGAATGTAATTCTTCAAGACAATGTCAGAACTAACCAAAATCCCACGTGTAATATCACTCTCTCGTCACTCTATGATCCTTACATGACTCCTCAAGTTTGGAGGCTCAAGAGAAGTCAATATCACTTCACTCTATGATTCAAGAGAACACATGTGTGAAGAAGGCACAACTTTGACAACCTTCAGTCCTTTCTCCATTGATGAATTCCTGTTTATCCTTCATATATACGGAAAAATTCAAAGAGCGGTTTTTCAGACTATGTGGATGGAATGGAGCATACAGGCTAAGTGTATAATCTCTGGACTCCTATTGCCTGGGTTCCAATCCCACATGCACCAATTAATACCTGTTTTAATTTGTATATGTTTCTTACTTTCTCTAAACCTATCTTTGACCCTCATAAACAAAGATAATAGTATTCACCTTATGATGTTACTGAAGACTAGTGAAACAATTCAGATAAAGCACTTAGTACTAAGTAAACGGTAAGCATTCAATAACTGTTAAAGATTATCATTATCATTAATTATTCATCATCCTAATCTCAGTAGCACTTTTAATTATTTTGCTCCCTTAGTTGCTGTGGCATTCCCTCTTGTGTATGGCTTTATACTTTTTGGTTGCCTTTCCTTGGGCTTGTTTTCAAGATCAATCTCCTTTACTAACACAGTCAATGATTAAACACACCAGGCCTCAATTGCAGGACACGAATTTCTTTTTTTCAGTACTTTTGAGCAGTCTAGTTTACTTTTATACTTTCATTTACCAATTTATACCCTAATATCCCCCCAAAAACATCTCCCTGTCACAGATATCATTGCTGAATTCCATATCTCAACATTCAAAGGCATTCTTGCCATCTCTACCCAATTCGATAAGAGGAATTTTAAAATCATATGTAAAAGGCTAAATTGAAATTTTTATCTCCCAGTTCTGTTTTTCGTATACTCACCACTATCTGTGAGTGTTAGCTGTTCTGGTCTGAATGCCTGTGTCCTCCTAAAACTCTCAAATTGAAATCCTACCTCAACCGCAGTATTAGGAGGTGGGGCCTTTGGGAGGTAATTGGATCATGAGGATGTAGCTCTCACAAATGGGATTAGTGCCCTAACAAGGGGGAAACCAAGAGAGCTCTCTAGCCCTCTTTTTGCCATGGGAGGATGCAAGAAGATAGCTGACTACCAACTGGATGAGGGCCCTCATCACAACCTGTTCGTGCTTGCACTCTGATCTCAGACCTTCAGGCTCCAGAACTGTGAGAAATAAATTTCTGTTTTATATAAGCGGCCTCGTGTATGGCACATTATGCAAGCCAAAACCCAGGAGCCAATCGTAACATTTCTTTTTCTATTATATCCAATCCACTGTAAGCCCGTGTAACTTCCACATATTTCCATCTCGACTGCTAGCACCTCAACTGAAAAGACAGCAGCGATCAAGTATACCACAGCAATTGCAACTTCACACATGCAAAACTAATTAATGTTAAATTTGAAAATCTCCTCACTTCCTAACAATTACAAAGCCTGATCACTGAGTTTTTAAAATGCCTACACTACAGTCGTTTATATGGCATTAATGTTTGTTCCTGAACAAAATGCATAATAACGATGTTATAGACATTTGACTTTTCATAAAAATGATCCATTAGGTATTGCAATAAATGAGATTATATATCACTGAGAACTAATTTGGTTTCCACTAATGGACTACCAGCAGTTACAACTAGATTTTGCGACGTCTTTAGTCATTTCTTTTAATACATGAACACTCAAAGTTAATTACTGAGTTGACTTCATTTACATTTTTAGTGTTTATCAAAATGAATACCAACTGCATGTATCCATAATTCAATAAATAATGCACATGATATATAAAATAAGGGTTTTTGGTGAGTATGGGTTTTATTTAAAAATTAAATAAAACTAATAATCTCACACAAAACACTAAATTAACCTGTAGTGAGATCCCAATTTTATAATCTGGGAATAACAGAGATATCTTGAAGGTGCACTGATTTATAACTATATTGAGGAAAAAAATGTAATATATGAAGCAAATTTGATGCAAATTTATGTTCAGATGACATGATCTTTTAAAATTATTGTAATGCACTAGAAATCTTTAATATTTCATATCACATTTGTTATTCTAATAATTTCAAAGGCAACGATTATATACTTCAGTTAACTTCTTTAAAAGCATATTAACATCTTTCTTTAAATAAAGGGAAAGACAAGAAAAAATATTAATTTGACATCAAACATTATAGTACAAAAGTAGAAACGGCTTAGTGGATGAATTTTTCTGACTACTGGTAAGATAACATTATTTAAACCTTTCTGAACCTGATGATTTAAGATTTTAGAATCTCAGAATCTCACTAGTACTGTGAATGCCCAGCCTAACTGCTTATTTAGGAAGATAATCTGTTTTGTAATCTTTCTAAAGCACAGCACCATTCACACCCATGCCTTAAAAAAAAAAAAAAAAGGCCCCAAATTACCAACAAAATAAAATCCAAAATTTAATAGCTAGTATTCAAGACATTTTGCCATCTGGCCACTAAGTGTCTTTCCAAAAGTATCTCCCACTGTTTTTTTCCTCACACACTCTCATATTCTAGCCAAAATAAATTACCTAGTTTCTCCTGAATATATACTAAGTCTCTGCACCTCAGTGGCTTTGTCTCAACTTTTCAGGGGTTCCATCTCATCAACCCCAGATCCAAACCATCTGTCAAGGTGTAGCTCAGATGCCAAGTCAACCAAGAAGTCATACCAAAGAGCTGTTATGATAGTAATGTCTCCCTCCTCTAAAGTTCCATCATCCCCAATGACTTTCCTTTTGGCATTCACCACATTCTAGTATACAGTAGAAGTATTTATGCTAACTTAGAATTTAGGGTAAAGTGTTCTATAACCAGAGCCCTCTCTTGATTTATCATTGTTCTTTTTTTCCTTTAATAGTGCCTTACTATTAACTGAATAATTGTCTTACTAAAAAGCAAAAGGTAACACTTCTGTGAACACTCAAAGGGAAATATCACTCCCTGATTTCTCTTCATTTTAATAAGTGTCAGCATTTCTTTGCTGAATATAACTATGTAACTCTTACCTATCCAGAAATCTTTATCATCACTCTCAGAATAGTTAAACCATTATAAGTTACAATTTAATCCCCAAAACAATACTATAGTTGAATTCTTTGTCCTTACTCTTAAACAAACATTTAAAAGGATACAATTATAATGATCTAAGTAATGGTAGTATTATACTTAGATTATTATACAACCTGGCAAGTGCAATATTTCAGTCACGAGAAAACCTCTATTGTTTAAGTTGCACACTTTTTTTCCAATTGAAGAAGGCCCAGTACACAAACAAGGAACAGAATACTTTTCCAAAAAGTGATAATTCAGTCTCCTTTTCTACTCTTACTGGCTCAGTTAGCAATACAAGTATCTCTTTTGAGATATTTGGTCCCATTAAGATTCTTCTTATTAACCAAAATGAATTCGAATGAATAAGGAGGAATAAAGACCAAAGAAACTGTAACAGAATTTTGGAAATTGAGATTGCAAGAAACTTTGGCTAACAGATATTAAAATTATTATCTAATACCACATAAAACTATCGTAATGGTACATAAATAGGTTAAATGAGTTAGTCCAGAAATAAACTCTAGTATATATAAAATTTTAAGATATACAAACAAAACCCCTAGTTTAGTGGGTTAAAAATATATACTTTTTAATTTTTTTAATATGTATTTATTTTTCAGAGAGAGAGAGAGAGAGACAGAGCATGAGTAGGAGAGGGGCAGAGAGAGAGGGAGACACAGAATCCGAAGCAGGCTCCAGGCTCTGAGCTGGCAGCTAGAGCCCAATGCGGGGTTCAAACCCACAAACAGTGAGATGATGACCTGAGCTGAAGCTGGATGCCCAACCGACTGAGCCACCCAGGTGTCCCAAAACATATTATTTATTAAACAGTGTTAGGACAAATAGTTAACTATTAGACAAAAAATTCTATCCATTGTTAACATAAGACACCAATATATATATTTTTGAGTGACTTAAAGACGTAAATCTAATTAAAACATAAATATGTCTGATATCAAAATTAATCTTGTACCTCCAAAATTCCAAATTTACTTTGGGTTTTAGAGAATTTCACTGTGCAAATTACAAAGAGAAAGACAAACAGACTGATTTTATCTGTGATGCACAGAAAACATGGTAACATCTAAAGAGGGACAACCTTTTAGGTTCGACTTGATAAAGAAATCCAAATAAATACAGAGAAGTGAAATAGTTTCCAATCGTTGAAATAGGTAGAACTATGTAAATAAGTATAAGCATAGAAAAAATATTATTAGAAACTTCAAAGAGGGAACAAAAAGTGAAAAGATGTTTCCCTGTTCTAAGAGAGAGACCTTGATCATAATGTGTTGGCCAGTGATATGACAACAAATTTTATTTTGGAGGATTGAATACATTTGTACAGTTTCTCAGGTTTATGAGAAAATAATTATCTTCATTTTGCCAGTAAAGTTAGTTGAGGTTTGTAGAAATGTAATTATTTGCTTAAGAACTTATTAAGCCTCATTCCAAGGTTTGGACACTTGTACCGTGACTGCAGGTAAGTATCATTACCACTACCCTAACAAGTCTGGATGGTTTAGTTGATCCAAAGAAAAATAAAGTAAAACAAGTTTCTAAAACAGAATATAAAAATATAAATAAAATTATAAAATGTGGTACCAGTGTTTCTAATTGGTCTTTTAGTGCATTCAAAACCAGTAGAAAAGATTCAG